CTACTACCTACCTCTCTCTCTCTCTCTCTCTCTCTCTCTCTCTATATATATATATATATAATATTTTTTTCCCTAAGATCTAGTCTAGTCAATTGACCAATAATTAGACCAGTTTGACTTAACCAAATTCCTTATCAGTCTGGTTGTCATCTGATATTGATAACACTTGTTTGAAGTGCTTTGACATTGGATCCATCCAAGGTCTAGAGTGAAGGTCCAAATTTTAATAACTTAGGACCTTGAAACCTTCACTTCAGACACTAAGTGAGAACATTTTGAGAAAAATAAATATGAGTGTAAAGAACAAAATCTTTGGAAAAAAAATTCACAGGGCGCACGAGCATAAATTGTTCTCTCTCTCTTTCTTTTTTTTTTTTCATTATCGATGTAAATCTATAATGGCAATGATCAGGCCAGGTCATGTTATTTTGACAAATATATAAATACCCCTATACTTTACGTTATTAGAAATTTGTTTAAAATTTTTATTTTATTACGTCCATATCGACCAAATTGCTCACATTTCGGATCTTCTAGCTACGAAATTAAACACTATTGGAATTAATTTGTCTTTAAAAGTTTTAGATATTCAAAACTTTGAAAATATAAACATAAGATTTTCACACTCCATATTGATGATGTCATACCCTCCTAATAACTAAAAATACCATTAATAAAAAAATGCTCAATGTACAAAACAAATGTGTAGAAGTGTCCGAAATTGTTGAGTGCCATGATAAATTACTCCATAGTATGAGCATCTTAAAATAACCTTCTATATATATAAATATATATTCTCTAAAATCCAATCTAGTCAGTTTGACCAATAATTAGACTAGTTTTGACTTAACCAAATTCCTTATCAGTTTGGTTGTCATCTGATATTGATAACACTTGTTTGAAGTGCATCGACATTGGATCCACCCAAGGTCTGCAGCCTAGGTCCAAGGTCTGGAGTGAAGGTCCAAATTTTAATAAGTTAGGACCTTGAAATCTTCACTTCGGACCAAGTTAGAACATTTTGAGAAAAATAAATAAAGAGAAATAAGTATGAGTGTAAAGAACAAACTCTCCGGGGAAAAATTCAAAGGGTGCACGAGCGTAAATTGTTCTCTCTCTCTCTCTTTTCATTATCGATATAAATTTAAAATGGAAATGATTAGGCCAGGTCATGTTATTTTGACAAATATATGTATACCCCTATACTTTATGTTATTAGAAATTTGTTTAAAATTTTTCTATTATTACGTTCACATCAACCAAATTGCCCACATTTCGGATTTAAAAATTTTGGATATTCAAAATTTGAAAATATAAATTCTAGTTTTTGGATATTGGATTCCAAAATGAAAAATTAAGTTACTTCTTTAAAATTTTGGAATTCAAAATATGAAAATCTGAAATTGAGGTTTTCCCTAATTTGTAATATTCAAAATAAAAATTAATAAAAAAAAATTTTAGGCTGAAATTGACAAAATTTTTCCAATTTTAACTTATTTCAGACAGTCTTAATTTCATAATTTTAATATCTTAGGGAAAACCTTAACTTTGGATTATGGATATCAAAAATTTTAAAAAATCAATTATTAATTTAGAGATTTAATATCCAATTTTTTTTATATAAAAAAGACAGTAATTTCAATTTTTGGATTTTTCCAAAATTTTTAAAATAACTTGAAAATGTTCAACTCAAGATGCTAAATTTGGGTAATTTAGTTTTTTTTTAAAAAATTATATCATGAAAGGAAAATAGTTTATATAAGGTTAAAGCCCTAAACAATCAAACTAAGGCTTACCTTAAAAATTTACTAGAAGTTGTTTCGATGAAGTAAACTCCTCAAATCCGATTATCTTGACTTTGAGATACATTAGCGTAACTAAAATGGACAATTGTTTCATGACAATTGTTTCATGCGGGTTGGACAGTATTTCTACATATGGGGTCCAAAAAGTGTAAAGCATATATGTGAAAGATGGATGCAAGTAGGTGTTCCATCTAAAAACAATCGAAACTAATTTCTTATTAGAATCATTATTTTTAATTTTTTAATTTTATTTATTTTTTTCATATTCATGATCTCCATGATGGGGACTACGTGTCCTTAAAAATTAAGTCTTACAATCTATTTCAAAAGTAAATTTATTAAGAGGCGCGCATTTATACGTGGGCTTGGTCGCATAGAAATCGGATAAAAAAAAAAAAGGGCTCGAAGGCTTGGAAATAATACACTTTGTAATGCATTATCTAGATCGTCAATTTTTTAGATTTTCAAGCGCAAATAGATCTCCTTAATTTACACTATTTTTTAAATTTTATTTTTTAATAATTAGAGATGAAAATAAATTTTCAAGCATAATAGTGATTTTTGGTACTGAAACCTGAAGGTCCCCTTACTTTAATGGTTTTTGGCCTCAGCCTTATACAAGCCACACGCCCATCATGAAAAAGATTTTAAGTGAAGAAGATATGCGTGAAAATTTCTCTTATTTTTTATCGCCAATAGCTCCTCCAGTCGACGTGGTGAGCCATAAAAACACGGAGCTCTTCCGTGTTTCTCTCTCTACATGTCCAGAGCTAGAGAGAGTTCTTTCTCTGTCTATTTCTCTCTCTAAAACGTACAAACAATCCTCTGTTTTCCGTGTTTCTCCTCTACTGTGTAGACCAAAAAAATAAAGCGGGTGTTTCTCTCTCTACTGTGTAGACCAAAAAAAGATAGAGCGGGAGAGAGTTCCCATGGTCTTCTTTCTCACTCTCCCCACTTTCGTATGTTGCTATCGAAAGGTTCCGTTTCTCTCCTTTCATTTCTCGCTCCTCAGCATAAACCAAAATGCCTTATTCACATAACCATCTCTCCCTTCTGCTTATTAAATGGAAGCAATATTTCTTCTTCAAGCTTGAAGCCACGCAGGTCACTTGAAAACACTTTCCCACCTTTCACTCTCTCTCTCTAACTGTTTGTTTGTATTTGTCATTCTCCCCATTGCTGATTACTGTTTTATCTCTCATCAGATTTGCAGTTTTAGGGGCTGGGTTTGCTGGGATGTCTGTGGCTTGGCATCTTTTGCAGGTGCCCCCTCTCTTTCTTTCCTCAACTTTTTCTAAGTGCCCCCTCTCTTTCTTTTCTCAACTTTTTGTACTTTTCATTTCAATTTTTTGTCTTCGGCATATAGTATTATGAAGATTATGGGTTTTCTTGTTCTGGTTTAAATCAGGTAGGTCAGGGTAAGGAATTTTAATTTTTTTTTGTTTTTCCTTCGGTTGTGTAACTCTTTACTGGAATTCTTCTTTTGGGTAGATTATGGTACAGTGGGAATGAGATTAAAATAGAAGTCGCTTGTTAAGTGCTTTTCTGTACTGACTTTGATTTTGTTTTTTAAGAGGATGGTTTTTGGGTGGTTTTAGGGCCTGATATTGTTGTTGGGAAGGACCACATTGGCTTCTCTCTGAGAAGAAAAATAGAGGTCCTTTTTTCACCCTTTATTTGTTTTTTTATATTTCTGCCTTCATCTCCAGTGTGGAGTTTAGTTAAAACAATCAAATCGGTATATAGTAGGTGCTTTACGTTTTCTTGACTACACTTCTTATGGAATTATGTAAAGAAATTTTATTCAAAAATAATATACAGATTCTTTTATGTGAAGGACATTATTTAGAGATGAAAATATTTTTTGTATTGATCCAATCCCAAGTTAAGATGTATGGAAAAACTTCAGTCTCTCAATCACTCATACGAAGATTCTTACAAAGTTAAGTGGGTGACTCCGGATTCCAAGAGCCTTGGTGGACGCTTCCCTACTCGGTCTCAGTTATTCTTTTGTTGGATCCTACTTGATATCCATCATCCTCTTGGGAAACTCGGACAATTTCACCTGGAAGTTCACAACGGTTTATGGTCCCAACAGACCTGATGTTACGAAAGCCTTCTGGTAGGAGGTCAACGGTATTGCTTCCATTGCACCCATTTCTTGATGTGGGGATTTTAATACTACTATTTTGGTTGCAGATCTTCACTTCGCCTACCCAACTCTAATTCTATGGGTGACATTTTCCTCAATCTCTCCATTTTTCTAGATTATTGACCCAAGATATCAAAAACACACTTTTTTTAGTATTTCTTGGCCATCAATCTCTATTCGTATTTTTACTAAACTTGCATTCCATATACTATGTCTTTGTCCAGCTAATTTTAAAACCTCTAGATTCTAGAGCATCCATCCAAACTTCTAACTTTATGTTGATGCCGTTTTCTTTCTCATTTTTGCTAATTTGAAGACTTCTCTTCACCTTTTTTTATTCTCAGTTTACAGTATAGATTATCATATGCCTTAAGTTAGCCTTACCTGTTATTTGTTTTGTATTTTTCTTGACATTTTTATTTTTTTCTAAATTTTGATCATTTCTATTGCGCTGCCAAATTTTATAACATGATCATTTTTCACTAATGGCCTTCTGAAGCTCATCGCTCCACCACCAAGTTTTTTTATCGAAATCCCATTTTTCTTTTTTTTAAATTCCACCACCTAGTTCTTGGACATCTATTAATTTCACCCCTTTTCTTCCATGTCTTTATGAAGACGTCCACAACCACGACTCTATTTTGGGTAGTCAAACTCTCTTTGGAAATAACCTTGCAGTCTTTACATGATGGTCGATCTATCTTAACTAGGAAGAAGTCTATCTGGCTTTTATATGATCCACTTTTATGGATTATTAAATATTCATATCGTTTTTTAAAGTACGTGTTTTTGTGATCCACTATTAATTGTTCATCCCGCTTTTCAAAGTAAGTAGTTGTTATTACTAGGTCGTAAGGCCATAGAAAAATCTGGAATAGCCTCACCCATCTTATTTTTTTTCCCAAACCCATATGACCATTTAAGCCCCCTCCTAAAAAGGTCCTCTATCCATTTAGTATGGCGAACTATTCTATCCATGTTCTTTCAAAATTGTCTCTTAATTCTATCCTCTGATCCTACTTGTGGTGCATAAGCGCTAATTACATTAACTATTTATTCTTTTAATATAAGTTTAATTAATAAGTGTTTATCACCTATTCTGTCGACATTAACTACTTTATCTTTTAAATCTTTGTCTACTATTATGCCTAAGCTATTTCTATTGTTATCCTTTCCTGTATACCAAAGTTTATACTCATCTATTTCTTTAGCCTTTTCTCCTTTCCGTTTAGTTTCCTGTAAACAGGTTATGTTTACTCTCATTCATCTCATCGTATCCACTAACTTCATACTCTTACATGTAAGCGTTCTTATATTCCATGTGGCTAGACGAATCCTATTCTCTTGGACTAGCTTATTTACCCGTGTTTGTCCAAAATGTCGCGGGAAGCCTTTTCTATTTTTCGCTGCAACTGGACGCTGCAGAGCATCGCTTTTGGGGAATGCCCTAGCATAAACATATACTATAGGTTCAGGATTCATGATAAGTTTTGATAAAGTTTTACGTTGGCTGCCTACCTAGCACAACCCAGCCCTTTTACCGGGCATGGGATGGGTTAAGGGAATTTTTAGGGTCCTCACCTTGTTAGACCAAGATAGGTTAAGGGACAGCGATCTAACTTATTGTAGAGTGTGCAGCATTGTCGCTTTTTATTAGGATGGCCATGCCTAGGTCTTCTCCCTCAACCAAAGAAGTTGTTCCTTTGTTTTCAACATGTTGTGCAGAGGGAGCTCATGTCTTGCACCAGCAGAATCGATAACCTTCCTTGTCTGTTCATCCCTCAGTAAAAAATTATAAATGGTGCGGACATAAAGTATTTCTCAAGGGAAGGATCGGGGTTCTTACAGTTTCATATTCTTTGTAAAGCCCTGCTAGCAACTCATAGGTGCTTCGCTTGTTGAACTTGGCACCTTGGTTTTTATGCCCGGTAGCACATTCACATTGGGGAAGGTCATAGTGATTTAACTTCCCGCACCTGCAACAGAAGGAAGGTACTGTAATATGCAGCCACTGTAAGATCACCTTGCTTGTACTGGGCTATCTTTTTGAAAAGCTAGAACGCTAACATCGTTATCTACTTGAGAAAATTTTTCCAACATCCCATATTTCTTTTGCTGTACCAAGAAACATGAGTACATCCCCAAATTTGTCTCCATTGAATTTATACGCCACACCATTGCAATAGCAATATTGGTGGGCCATTCATTACATCCTTAGTCTATTGGGATAGGTGATTTGAAGACCTATCAACATGTTCCAACTTATGCCTCCCAAGGAAAAACATTTGGGCTGATCAAGAAGATGGTCTCCCCATTCAACTTGCCTGAAGAAATCACAATACTAGGATTATCAAGTTGTATATTCTCAAGAGCAAACAATTATATTTATCTTCACTTGCCACACTTTATGGGATCTTGCGCAAATCAAGATGAAAACAATAGATGTTTAGTCAGGGGATATAGAGTCAGTTTGAAGTTACCAAAAAATTCAATCAAATGCCCAAATAGTGATGCCTCTCAAGAAATATTAATGAAAACACATCCAACCAAAGCACAATAACCCAAAAATTACCTTTTATCAATTCAATCCTGGAGAAGTGTTGGAAAGAGATAGATCAGATCAGGGCAGTCCAATAAAAATTGGGTCTTTATGAAAGAAATAAAGACCACTTTATTCGTTTAGAATGAAGAGAAAAGAAATATTGAGCACCCAAACTTTCCTATGCAAATTTAAATATGCAACCTATGGCCTACTGTGGCCCAAAACAGATTATAGATCTCGTTTCTTCAATCAAATCCAAAATGATACCCTTGGCTGGAGATTTTCAAGGCTTTATCAAGAGGTATTGTGAGGATAAAAAAACCACGAGAACAATGCTTCAATTTAGTTGAATACCTTCAAAATCATACCTGAACACATTAAATGTGGGTATCAAAATTCTTGGCTTGATGAGCATGTAAAAGCCCTCAAGAAATTTGAGGATTTGACCTGTCCATACATATGATGTCAGTACCTTACGGATGATTATGTCCTTAGATCGTGATGGAAAAGTGCTTGATCTCATTATGTTATTATGTGACAAGGATGAGCAGCTTCTATGGGATCGATCATCACTTTGATACCATGCATAGGGACATTTTATTCTCTAGGGTTTTACAATGCAGAGAAGTAATACTAGAGAACGAAAAATGGACTTGATCAAAATTCACTTGGGTTATCAAATTTCACTAGGGGCTTCATCAGAATATACATTAGAAATGATTACATGTTTGCCCGATGTTCATTTATAGTCATTACATGTGCTGATGTTCATTTATTGTAATTACATGTGTCCTTGGACCATAGTGAGACTGTTATTGCTCGAATTCGCAGTACACTCCACATACTATATACGATACTATCTTGTCCAGTCCTCATAGATGATACTTTAAGGATTGTTGAGGGTCATAGTTGTTGGGATTGGGAGCGAATCCAGAGGGGAATAGGGATCGAGAGCTGGAGGATTGTGAAAACTAGAAGATCCTTATGGTTGGGAGCATTGTCTATATAACAGCTGGGATCCAGATCCCAAAATTTCAAAGGCTAGATGCTTCAAAGGTCCCTTTTCTGAAACGTGGGAGGGAGATTCTGGAGTTGGATCACCACCTAGGTTGGGAGATCCCAGCAACTATGGTTGAGGCCATTCGAAAGTGAAAGATTGGGGTAGTCCAAGCATTTTATGTGTTGAAATGGTTGATTTAGAAGGAGTTGATGGGACATGTTCAAGATGCATTAACGAAGGTTGTGTGTGGTGCAGTATGTTGCTTATTTCTCACATGTGATTGATGCTCGATTGTAGCTATTGAAGTATGAAGTAGGATTTTTTGTCTCAAGGTAACCCTATCTACTTTCTAGTATTTTATGATAGCTAAAACTTTGTGGAATGACATTTTGTAGCTTTCCAAGTGGTTCAGATTTTGTAACTAAGATTATGTGTGGTGCAGTATGTTTCTTATTTCTCACATGTGATTGATGCTTGGTTGTAGCCATTGAAGTATGAAGTAGAATTTTTTGTCTGAAGGTAACTATCTACTTTCTAGTATTTTATGATAGCTAAAAATTTGTGGAATGAGATTTTGTTGCTTTCCAAGTGGTTCAGATTTAATAAGGGTCGGAGGTTGATAGTCCACTATGACCTGAACCCAAGTGTTGCTTGCATGAATCAAAGAATCTTTTGATAAATCAGGAGTTGTTGGCTAAGCAGATGAAGATTTTCTGTGAAGCATGGGATGCTTGTGGTGACCTGTAGGCAAAGAATGCTTTTGTATAGAAAAGGTATTTATGATCATAGGTTTGAGTTATTATCCTACTATTGAACTCGAATGGGTAGGCTACCAGCATATTGGGTGAAGATCATTAAGGTACAACATGTATGTGCCTCGCAATTCCCTTAGCTCAGTTACTTCCCTCTGTCTTAAGAAAGCAACATTCGAGATGTGATACGAAATATGTATTGTAGCTTCTAGTATACAGTATTTTTGGTTGATAGCTTCTAACGCATGCTAGGCACTTCTATTGAGATATTGGTCACAATTATGGCCAAAAGGAGAGGCGAAGATTCACGTTGATGATAAGTCAACTTTTTCTTTAACCGGGATTTAGAGGCACATGGATGGAGCAAACATTATGCTAATCATTATTGGTTTATTTATGATCCATGAGGAAAGCAAGAATAAAATGTTATTTTTTTTTCTGAAGTCAACAGTAAGAATAAAATGTTAATTTGCAATTTTGAAGACCACATAACAGACATTTTTATGAAGCTATTGAAGATAATGACTTTCAAAATTGAAGATTTTGTTGGAACTGAACTTTCAGAATTCAAATTTAAAGGATGTTCATTTCGTATAAAAGTGTCTTTAGGTTATTGGGTTCCCATTTAGTTTTAGTTTAGATGAGATAGGAATTTTTTGAGAGTTGTTAGATTAAAGAACTTTATTGGGGTTGTTTTTTGGGCAGATAGTGTCCATCTCGAATAATGTTAAATATAGAAATTTTTTTGGGAGTTCATTTTGTACCCGTGTCGAGTTCCTTTATTTTCTGTTGAGGATTCTATGGCTTGATATTGTGAGTTGGAACGATGACATTGAGTTTTCTAAGTTGTAATACCACTGTTTCTAAGAGTGTTTATCTTTATGGCACTATTTCCTTGGTGTATTTTCAATTTGAGACTATCAAAAAGGAAATTGTAGCCTGTGACAATCATGATTTAGTATCTCCACTATATCTGGCCCAACATTTCTTATTATTGCAAATGCAAATTTCACAGAACAAATACTATTAAAATGCCACAATGTCTTACTTAGCCTACATAATTTGTACCGGAGGTAATTGATTCACTTATGCATTATAACTTTGATCTCATTGTACAGCAAAGTGCGAGGGAGTTGTCTTTGTGCATTGATATATATGATGAACTGGGGATAGGAGGTGGTGCATCTGGTGTTGCTGGAGGGCTTCTGCATCCTTATTCCCCTAAAGGTTCCCTTTCTGATTTTTATTAGGGGTATGGCAGGCTGTTCTACCTAATCATGCTATGAATGTTGTTAGCAACCTTACTTTTTATGAGAAATTTTGTTTGGTTATTTTGAGAACCATCTTCTATAAGCTGTCTTCCTAATCATGCTATAAATGTTGTTAGCAACCTTACTTTTTATGAGAAATTCTGTTTGGTTGTTTTGAGAACCAAATGTTGCTCTTATATAACAATCTCCCATTAATGTAGGTTTTGTTTGAGTTAGGACATTGACTTCAATTTGGCTTTGTTTATTCAAGTGCATATGATACTTGATTTGCAGCCAAGCTTTTATGGAAGGGGGCGCAGTGTTGGGAAGAGGCCATGGTGATGTTGAGCATTGCAGAAGCCGCTAAGGATGAAGGTTCCTTTGCTCAGGATTTGAAGGATCTTGTTTCACAACACATTTTTGATGGACCCATTGTTTGGAAAAGGTCTACTTTTGACCTCCCAAAAGTCTTATAATTGGGTAACTCTTAGAGTTTCTAGCCATATCTTATTTTGTAAGCTGATACTCTCTACATGTTAAATTCTAGCAATATACACTAAGGCCCTGTTTGGACGGACCACTAAATGGCTAGTGTGATATTTTGTCACCCTATTTGTGCAGGAACGCTTCCGCAATACATCTGTCTCTGTTCCCATATTCAACCTTGCTTGTGGTGTTGAGAAAGCCAAATAGTGGCTAAATGGTAATAGCGGGGGAAAAAGAAACTTCTTTATCCAGTAAATTAATATTGTGCATCGACAAAATCCCGGGGGCTGCTATACAAACAGGACATAAGTTCAGTCCTTGGTGTACTTTACTGAATTCAATGTGCATTATAGTGTTCTTCACTAACCTTTTTTTAGCATTATGGAATGCATCCCATATATTGCTCATTTTCCCTTTGATACATACAATTTTGTGCAAGTCATGAGCTTGGTAGATTCTTGTGTTCCCTTTGATACGTACAATTTTGTGCAAGTCATGAGCTTGGTAGATTCCTTTGTGTGTGTGTGTGCGTGCGTTTAATTCTAATGAGCAATTTCAAAAAAGAAAAATTTGAAAAAGCAACCTAGAAAATTATGTTTTAAGCCCAATTAACATCGGCCGTCCATTTGGTGATGCTTAGATCAAGGCCTTAGAATGATCTTTTTTTCTTTTCAAATTCTTTAGATAACTTTATTATCAATAGATTAACAATATTAAAAAAGAAAAAAATGATTTTAAATTCATAAAGGCCTAGATCTTGAAATTCATCAAATAGACAATCTAGATTGGAGGGGACTCATCTTGACCATATATCGGGTGCAAATTAGTTTTTTTTTTTTAGATTGATTTTTGAGAAGAAAAAAGTGTGTGCAAAATTTTGGCCATACAAATACCACAAACTGGTTTTCTAAAAGTGTGGTTGCATTATAGTATGATGCAACCATTTGTATTGATTTTTGAGAAGAAAAAAGTGTGTGCAAAATTTTGGCCATACAAATACCACAAACTGGTTTTCTAAAAGTGTGGTTGCATTATAGTATGATGCAACCATTG